ACACTATGAGTTTCTTGTGATGCCATTTTGGCTAACCAATGCACCAGCAGCCTTTATGGATCTCATGAATAGGGTGTTCAAGCAGTATTTGGTATTTATTAATGATATTTTGGTGTATTCAAAGAGTCTTAAGGAACATGAGCAACATTTAAAAAATTGTTCTACAGACTCTTCGGGATCGAAAGCTTTATGCCAAGCTCAAGAAATATAAGTTCTGGCTAGCTAGTATATCGTTTTTGAGACATGTGATTTCTGATGAAGGGGTGTCAGTGGATCCTCAGAAGGTGGCAGCAGTTAAAGATTGGCCCCGACCCGCGAATGCTACTGAGGTACGTAGTTTCTTAGGTTTGGCAAGGTATTATAGGAAATTTGTCGAGGGTTTCTCCAAAATTGTCATTCTATTAACCCAAAAAAAAGGTAGTTTTTCAGTGGTCTGATAAATGTAAAAATAGTTTCAATGATTTAAAGGAAAGGTTGGTGTCTGCTCCAGTTCTTACTATACCTGCAGATAATGGTGGGTACGATATCTACTGTGATGCTTCGGGGAAAGGGTTGGGTTGTGTATTGATGCAATAGGGGAAGGTTGTGGTTTATGCTTCTAGGCAGTTGAAACCTTATGAGCAAAACTACCCAACGCATGATTTGGAGTTGGCAGTTATTGTGTTTGCACTGAAGATATGGAGTCATTATTTGCACGGGGAGACATGTGAGATATATACAGATCATAAGAGTTTTAAGTATTTATTTACACAGAAAGAGTTGAACATGAGACAACGAAGATGACTAGAGTTAATAAAAAACTATGATGTGAATTTGCACTATCATCTAGTGAAAGCAAATGTAGTGGCAGATACACTAAGTAGAAAGTTTATTGGGAGCATGGCCTCTTTGCTTACTCAGCAAAAATAACTTGTGAGAGATCTTGAAGAGGCAAAAGTTGAGGTGGGGATAAGTGAGACTAATGCTTTTGTAGCAAACTTACAAGTTCGGCCTACCTTGCTAGATCGAATAAAGGAGGCACAACGGAATGACCCGAATTTGGTGAAGATTCTAGAAGAAACAGAGCAAGGAGAGAAGACTGATTTTAGTGTGCCAGATGGAGTGTTGAGATTTGGAGATCGAGTATGCATACCTAATGACCCAGATATCAAGAAACAAGTGATGGAGGAGGCCCATTACTCTCGTTTCACAATTCATCCTGGAAGTACAAAGATGTATCAAGGCTTGAAAGGTGGAATAATATGAAGAGGGAAGTGGCTGACTATGTGTCTAGGTGTTTGACATGTCAAAAAGTGAAAGCAGAACACCAAAGGCCAGGAGGATTATTGCTACCACTTCCTATCCCTGAGTGGAAGTGGAAGCACATTACCATGGATTTCGTGAGTGGGCTACCAAAGACTCCGGGTGGACTTGATTCTATTTGGGTTATGGTGGACAGATTGACAAAGCCCACACACTTTTTGCCTGTGAGGACTACTTATCCCTTGGAGAAATTTGCTAAACTTTACGTAAAAGAGATTGTGAAATTACATGGGGCCCCAGTGTCGATTATTTCAGATAGAGATCCTCGATTTGTCTCAAGGTTTTGGGGTAGTTTACAAAAGACTATGGGCACCAAGTTGAGATTTAGTACAGCTTACCACCCATAGACAGATGGACATTCGGAGAGGGTTATTCAAATATTGGAAGACATGTTTCGTGCTTGTGTGCTTGACTTAAAGGGTTATTGGGAAGAACATTTACCACTAGTTGAGTTTGCTTATAATAACAGCTTTCAAGCCAGCATTGACATGACACCGTATGAGGCTTTATATGGGCGAAAATGTAGAAAGATATATGGGCCAGAGATAGTACAAGAGACCACAGACAAAGTACAGTTGATTCAAGAAAGACTTCGGGTTGCTCAGAATAGACAGAAAAGTTATGCGAACAATCGGAAGAGAGACTTAGAATTTCAGGAAAGCTATCATGTATTCCTAAAGGTGTCACATTGGAAAAGGATTATGAGATTTGGTAAAAAGGGAAAGTTGAGTCCAAGGTATATTGGACCCTTCGAGATTCTAGGAAGAGTTGGTATAGTGGCCTATAGGCTAGCCTTACCACCAAAGCTAGCTAGTATCCACAATGTATTTCATATATCAATGCTTAGGAAGTACATGCCAGATCCATCACATGTGATTGAGGTTGAGCCGCTACAAATGCGGATGGATTTGTCTTATGATGAACTACCGGTGAAGATCTTAGGTCGAGAAGAACGAGTGTTAAGGAACAGGGTTTTTCCATTCGTTAAAGTTCTGTGGAAGAACTACTCGGAGAGGGAAGCTACTTAGGAGAACAAACAAGAGATGAAGGAAAAATACCCACAGTTATTCCAACCTCGGGACGCACCAAGTTTGGAGGACCAAACTTCTTGAAAGGGGGTAGAGTTGTAATACCCAATACAGTTATGTGCTTGGATTTTTTTTTTTTAAATAAATAAGAGAGAGGAAGTTATTTAGGAAATTTAAAATTAGTTGTACGCTAATATGTTCTGATTAAAACTATAATTCTAAGAAATGTAGAGGGACTTAAGTGCATTAAATGGAGATAACAATCGTGTCATATAAGTAAATGGAATGCCCTAGGTTGTCTCATATATTATTAGTATTGTTTGGTTGGAAGGAACAGGCGGCGGCAGAGAGAAAGAAAGAAAGAAAGAGAGAAACAGAGAGAATGTAGAAAGAAGAACAAAAAGGAAGAAAAACAAAAGGGGATTGGACTCATTAAAGGTATGAATTCATTAATTATTAGTGGGTTTGTAAGTTATTCAATTACAAAGTATTAAGGTTATCATAAATAGTGATAAAGAATACTTATCTATATATATGTGTGTGTGTGGTGAAGAATAGTGGTGAATGTATAAATGGGTTTTATTGGAAGTTGCTAATTTAGGTGTTTTTAAACCTAAGTTAGATTAGTTAGTCTTGAAGTTTGTAAGGAATTTAATCAATGTGTAAAAAAAAAAGAGAGAGAAGGAAGTTACTGGTTTAGAGTTATCGTAGGAAGAAGAAGGTGAAAATGTGTAAAATTATAGAAACTCTCATTAGTTACAAGAGATGTCATTGTAACCTCTATATTTTCATAACTTCAACTTTGATCACTTTTTCACTTGATAATTTGTAAAGATGACCCTAATAATTTTGAAACAAGATTTATAATTTTGAAAACAGCCCTCGAGCCTTGGAAAGTATTCAGAATTATACTTTAATCCCAAAAATTTTAAAAATTATGATTTGACCCCAAAACTTTAGAAACTTTTTCAAAACAGCCCAGAATACTTACATATCCTATTACCTCGTATTAGAAAGGATATTTATATGTAAAAGATATATTAACTATAAATCAATGAGTATGAAGTATAAAAATTAAATACAGAATCGCAAAATGACAAAGTTAGAAAAAGAGATTGATTGTTATATGTTATTTTGGATTAGGCGGTAATTGCATTTAGGTTAGGAAAGAGTGCTTTGAATTAGCTTTTGAAAATCAAGGTGAATAGTTTACTATTTCTTTTGGGAGAATTTTTTATATTAAATGCATGGGTGCGTGCGTGTGAATTTTCATATATATGATATATGTTAATGATTGGGGTTGCAATTAAAGGTTTTGTAATTGTGAATTGTTATACCTGAGAATTTGAAAAACTTATGGAATGATTTTATATCATTGTTTAAATGTGTTTTGGTGGTGAAAAGGGAATTTTGTGTGCGTTGGGACTAAAACAATAGTTTTAGTGTGTGTTAAAATCATGTTTTATGAGAAGAGGACTGGGTTATCAGGTCTAAATGGTAACGAGATTGTATACCAGCGTGGTCGGTATATGGATGTGCACATAGGGGCCAGTTACCAGGCTATTAGTAACAAGAGATAGGGGCATTTATCAAGCTAGTGATGACAAGAGATAGGGTCAGTTACCAGACTAATGGTAACAAGCATGACTTAACAAATGTATTTAAAACTGAATGTGTGTGTGTGTGAGTGTTTTGAGTTATAAATGTCTTTCATTTATAAAGTTAATTGTGAAAATGAGTGGATGTTTGAGTTATAAATGTTTTTTCTTTTATAAAGTTATTTTGATCATGAGATTATTTTGTTTACATGATTATGTGGAAGGGATTGAAGTACAATTTGTTGTACTTATGTAGGTAACAAAGTTTATTTTTTTTGCATATAAAATGTGGGATTTATTTTCACATCTCATTAGATGTGGTTGCTATTCACGGGCCTTTGTGCACACCCAAACATTTAATATTTTTCAGGTAAGGATCAAGGGGAGGAGTAAGTCCCCGAATAGACAAAGGATTAGAAGGATTGAAGATTTATTTTATTGTAAGTCTTCAGAAATAAATGTCTTTTATGATTTTGAGACAAATATTTAATTATTTTTGGGATTAATGATGCTCATGTTTAGACTTTAGAGTAGTGAACCTTATAGTTTAATTATTGTTTTACATGAGTTTAATAATTATGTTGGTGATATTTAGTTTATTTCTTTGGTATTCATTAGGTCAATAGAATGAATCACTTTATTATTTCTCTTTCACTGTATTTTATATTTATTATGCACAAAATTATTTAGTTAAAGCCTTGATGACCGGTCCGCTGTTGACCCTATGTGATCTGAGGTGGGGTGTGACAATTATCCTTCGAAGTTTTCTTATTTGATTTGATTTGATCAAATAATAACCTTGCTCAATTAAAAAAAATTAAAAAAAAATAACATTGACTTTTCTTGTCAAAGGTCCCGGTCCATCACATACACATCTCAAACAATTCTGTGTGTGTGTGTGTGAGAATATAGAGATATACAAGTATGAAGAAACGCTTGCCCTGTCCCTAATTACCAACAGATCTCCTTGGGTTCTTAGAAGTGGATTTGAGTAAGGGGAGATGGAGACTCAGACGTTTCACAGCCTATTTGAGAGACGCCCTATAACCAAGTCCAAGTCTCCTACCATCAAATGGTTCAAGGAATGGTACACCCAAAACCCATTTTTGCATCTTCTCAATTGAAATTAATCTTTGAATGTATTTATGAGTAGGTTCTTGCAGGAAAAATCTTAGGGAAGCAATCTGTATATGTATGTTTCAATCTTCTATGTAGTTGGTTGTTTCTTTATTATTTGATGCCAAGTAAGAGAGCAAGTGGGTAGAGCTTAATTTAGTGATTTTGTTGTGCTACACTCAGTTGAATTAACAGATTTTACATTCTGTCTATTGATTTTCATTGGGTAGTTCCATTAAATGTTGAATTAAAATTCACTGTGACATGTAAAAAGACTACATGGTCGGAGAAAAAAGGGACAGTGAAAAATAAGCCCCTTTAGAAGAAATTAGGGAAGAATTAAGAAAGAGGTAAAATTACCAACGACAGAGAAAGTGTAACTACGAACTGTTCAATCGGATCAACTGAATTTTCCATAGTAGTTGCACTCCTTTTGGTTCGGAAGAATGTATTGTATACTCAGTAGGGCACCTACTTAGGAAAGGGGTCATGTTTCTTTCTATTCATTTGAAGCTTGCGATGACGCCCTCGCCACATTTCCATCTAGAGAAGTGCTACTGAGCTCACTTTCCAATATATCTCCCTCAAATGCACTAGGTAGCCAGGTGTTTCATTTGTCAAGAATCTCATCAATCTATAGGTTTGAAAGAACACTGATAATTAGCTCAACTTGCCGGTTTGGAAAGAGCAATGATTATGTTAACATGGTTCTTTCCACCAACACGATTTATCACCTGTTTTCAAGTCACTGGAGGATGTAAGTTTTTTAGTAGAATGAGCCATATAGCTTGGAGTAGGATACGTAATGAAAACCTGGTATCTCTTGGCCAATTTAGGTTTAGCACTAAGTGTAGCTTCTCCAACCCTTGGCTAGATCGCATTCAACTTACACCATATAAGCATAGTTCATGCTCAAATTTCCAATAACCTGTTTGAGGTTATTGTTAGTGTGGGCCTATTGAGTGTGTTTGGCTGAGACTGAGTATTGAATCTCAGTGCCATCACAATTCAAATATTCATGTGTAATTTGATCCGTGTGACACCAACCATGTTGGCATGGTTCAACGTTGGTTCCTTCAAGGGAGTGAACCATTACTCAATTATTTGTAGACTTACTTTCATATAAATGTGAGTCTTTTATTCTTTACTAATCCCAACCAGTAGTTTGATGCGCTGAATCCTAATCCCATTGTTTGATAAGTACGTGAGAAAAATCGACACATTGAAGAAAGTGTCGTGTCCACATTGAACACAGGTTGGACATCGACGCATCTTGGATACTTAGGGAATCATGTGCAAAACCTTTACCTATCTAACAAAAAATTAAGCGTCTTGATTTGCCTTTGTTCCACATTCTGTTGACCATGTTTGTGACATGTAAGTTAAAATGTTAATTTTGAACACTTAATTGACACTTCTTGAATACCCTTAACATGTGATGTAGAAAGTGTAAAAGTTGGGATATGAGCATCTTTTAGCATGGAAAAAGTAGTTGTCTAGGAAAGAGGAATAATTGATAGCGATATATTAAAGGTCAGTAGCAAATTTATTAGAAAAGGCAAGAAGTAAGGCTAATGAAGTTTTTGTCAAAGGAGGCATGGGAAGGAGAAATGAATTGTCATGATTATTTATGCTTATTTTGCTTTGTCTCTACATAATGGGTCATTATGAATTATTATGATTTCTAAGATGACTGAGCCAATACGGGGCTTGTTATCAAAGAGTATGGTTGCCTTTTAAGCACGGGAATCCTTGTTAGTGTGCGAATTTATATCATTCCATCTACTTATTAAGGTACTTGGAACCCACCTTTACAGCCAGTTTTGGTCTTTAGAGGAATCTTGCCTTATGCAAATTGCAATTATATATACTCCTTTTCCCTTCTAATTTATTTCTCAGAATACCTTTCTAGTCCTGCCACCTCACATGCGTCAAGTAATTACCACAGATAAATCTATAGAAGAAACCTCAAAGAGCTTAGACTGTTCTTTAATTTGGCTTCTTCTCATCTTGGTACCTCTTGGGGCTGTTCAATTTTTGCTTCATACATTGAAATTGTATCTTTTCTTTGCTTTCCTTTTAGTGATAAATAAATACGCTGAGAAAAAAGTTTAGAGGGAGAATGGGGAGCCTTGGCACCCATGCTGGGTTGGGGAGGGGGGGTGTTCCTACTCTACTATGACTCTCAACATTTGATTGGTTTCTGTAATTGAAGTGTAAAAATATTGATTTAGCACCTAATTTGTTTGTCCTCTATCTTATTGGATTGTTCAAACATTGCTATAACCTACTCTCTATTTGTTTTAGGGTGCCACAAGATGTTGTATCAACTGGCGGGAAGTGCTTTGTTTTAAAATGGGTCACGGTTAAGTTCTACTAATTGCTTTAAGTTATGCATTCATTTGATATTTGTACTCCTAGAGTAATGGATTTATGAGTACAATGTGTGAACTGATTGTATTATCTTCGTGTTTCTTGGAAGGAGGATCATAAACACATTTTAGATTGGACAATATGTATCAGGGAGATTGTGTATTTGTTGTTTTGATACTTTAAATTAAGTTTCTCATTTGAGTGTAAAGTCTTTTTGATCCAACATGGCATTGCAAAGTCTGCACTTCGGAAAGAAACATCTTTTTTTTTTCTCTTTCTTGTCCAGGACTTCCGCTATTTTTTCCCGAAAAGTTGAGTGAAGATTTGGTACTTGTTTTTATTTTTAGCGAAGTAGGTGGGATTCAAATTTCACATAGTTGTCAAGATTATTTCATTTATTTTAACATTTCGGAGAACTGTCTGAATGTATTTCAAACTGTGTTATAAGTTTTATTTGTGGAGCACTATCTCTCGATCATTTGGAGACATCACCTTTGACAATTCTTGAGAGTCTTTATTCCTCTTTGTATGTTTTGGAAGCTATTTTTTATGGTTTTTTTTGTAAATATTGATATTTTAATTTTTAAAATTTGAAATGGAGTTAAATTTGAAGCCTAGAAAGTAGCAATTGGAGTATGCTTGAGATTGGAGATTAGGGCTGGCAAAGGGGTTATATTATGTTAGGTCGTTTTGAGTGTAAATTGGGTCATGTCAGAATCTGTTCAACACCTTAACCAATATGCAACATGCTCATAGTCAAGAGTAGTCGGGCTTCTGTCATGTTTAGGTGGGCTAGTCAATCCATTTATTAAAGTGATTTGGCGGGTCCACTATTAACTATTCCAAACCGCTAAGCTAAGCCCAAACCTAGTGATTTTTTTCGATTTTCTGTTGTGTTTGCTGGTCTTGTGTAGAATTGCTTGGCCTATTTGAGATTAAGATGCACTAGTCTGTTTCGTAGGTATTTATTAGTTGGAGTGAGGAGGCTGAAGAATGATCATGTGCTTAAGTAAATGATATCTATTTGTTAGTCACTAGCATGTAATTAGTGTGTTTAAAACTTTAAACTGTAATTCTACCTACATCCCAAGCTGAATATTTTGACCACCTTGTGGGGGGGCCTTGGAATTGAGGGTTCTAGTGTCCCCCGTTAATTATTACACAAAAAGAGTGCATCTGTTTTACTCTCTCACTCTTTCGCGCGCGTGCACGTACACACATACCCGCCCTCCTTATTTGGGGGTGGAAACCAGATCCATGATTGTCAAAGATATGGAGCATGTTTATGTATCTTGCACAAATATTTATTTCAAATTTTTGTCGTCATTTTCACCAAAGGGAGAAAAAAACTGTTGACCAATTCGTGCTTGATAATTTTTTGGGGTAACTTGCTATCTGGGCAAAGTCGTCGTGCAGCAAATATCTTTAGGTTTTGTTGGTTTTTAAGTTAACTGGGATCTGTATAGTGGCTTTGTGGCTGATTATGGGAGTGCTGTCTGCATGATAGATGTAAGTTGCACGAGGTTTCATGTGAAAGAAATTCTTTGCTGGTCTTTATATTGTCCGATGAAGGTGCTTGACAAATGAGTTTCTGTTTTGATCGAGTGAGTGAAGGAATCTCAAACTCACTGGTTGGTTGGTGTTTGTGCAAAACATTGGAGTTTTTAGTATGATTTGAATTTTTGTGCATGATGTCTTTCCTCTCTCTCTCTCTCTCTATATATATATATATGTGTGTGTGTGTGTGTATATATATATATATATATATATATATATATATATCTTTTCTTTTAAAAAAAATTAATCAGGTTTTGGAATCTGATTCCCGTTATATGTCTTTTCTACATATTTTATTTTATTAGAGGCGCAACTGAACGCCATAACAGAAAAATCGAAAGAACCAGAGGCAGCAGAACCCGAACCTGAACCAACTACTGAAGTTCTTTTCCTTTGTAGTTGTGAAGGCTGTGGAAAGACATTTATTGATGCTGGAGCTTTGAGGTAACATTCTCACATCCATGGAGAGAGACAATTTGTTTGCCACTATGAGAATTGTGGAAAGGTAATGAATTAAAGGTTTGTACATTGTTCACTTTGTTGCCTTATAGGGACTACATGGGACTGGTCCACTAATTGGGAGACGTAGACCCACTACTGTTTTTAAGAAGCATTAGAAGAAAAGTACAATTTGTACTGATTCTACTATGAAGACCAATCACTTACTTCCCAAGAAGTAGCTGGTAACATGATCTTTTTGTGTTTGGCAAAAAACTTACCTCTAGCATGTAGTTTTTCTTTGGCACATGTTTCACCAAACCCGGTCAAACCTCAGGTGGCCCAACATTTGCAGATGCACCCCAGCTACCATCTTGGGGCCCGATCCCTCAACAACGCCGTGAGGGTGGATTGTTATACCACCGAGTCACAAAGTGGTCATGATGCATGTTAGCTCATTTAGCATCTTTCTGCAAATTGATGGGTGTAATTTTGAGCTTTGAAGAGGTAGCTTCTTATTGTTTTGTCTTAGTTTGTGATATGGTCGTAAACTGCTTCTGGAATCTGTCATAATTTGTGGTGGTGCCTTTTTTTTTTTTTTTTTTTTTTTGGGGGGGGGGGAGAGAGAGTTCTATTGATGTGGTAGGAAACTACTTATGGGCATATAAATGGATGTCCAGCCGGAAGATGTAGTTGGCTACGTGGACTACCTCAAGTGAGAAATGAGTGTAAGGAACAGAGAAACCTGTGAAGTTGGTTGGATATAAAAACAAGGCTCATTTATAGGGTTTGACAATCGATTTGAGCCGGGAGGAGTCATGTTTGAGTCGTGTCATTTCAAGTTTGTGCCAGAGGCCCTACCACTCGAACATGACCCATTTAATCAATTGTGTCAAGCCTCTCAAATACTAATACGAACTGTTAGTAATTGCACCAACCCAACTCTGCTCGCAAAACCCGTTTAATAAATGGGTTGTCTTTTGGTATGCATCACCTGCAAACCCATCAATCAGTCAACACGATTAATCGAAACAAAAATCTTCCAACAATGAAATATGGATCAGGTTCAAATAGAAAAACACTAATCAAAGATTCAACTGAAAAAATCCAAAAGATTTAGAACAATTCCATCAGTTTCCAAAATATGAGGATCAGATGCAACATAAAAAATGAAATTTTTTAACATTTTCCAAAATTCATAATCCAAAGATAATGAACTATGTCCTGATAATGAATTCAATTAAAAGCAAAGCCAATCAAGAAATGCAAGAAGAGAGAAAGATGGAAACTTGATGCAATTCATAGTGCAAGTGCTTGCCACATCCAGTTGGACAATCTCTTTGCAGTCATTATTCTTTGGCAGTTGTCAAGCTCAAGCTCTCTAGTGTATATACAGCTATGAAGGCAAGCCAATAACAAAGAACATGGAAAAATCCTGAAATAGTGGATTATTGCTTTCGAAGAGATATTGATTTATCTATCTTGGTCAATAAATTTTGCTTGCAATGCCGTAGTAACGGAGAATGGATGGTTGAGAACCTTGGAGAAGAGCAATGGAGAGAATATCAGACACAAAAGGAGGGACGTTAGGGGAGAGAGAGAGAGAATCAGAAAACAAGAGCAAAAGGCGCTGAAGGGGAGTGGATGATATTGGGGTTGTGCAATTTTTTTTCCATTTATACTTGAATTAAACTGATCACATACGAATTGTGTTAGGGTTTGTTATAGGGTTGACATGGATAAATAAATGGGTTGAAGGTGTCAATTTTGGGTTACGTGGGTTGGAACCAAACATGATCTGTTTATTATTAGTGTCGGCAAATTGTGTTATTTTCTGGTTCATGTCAATAAAGAGTCAATCATAGCCTGTTGACTTCGTATCCAGTTCGTGCCGAAAATTGTCACTGTACTCATTTGGGGCCTTGCCTTGTTGAGTTATAGTTCCAGTTGTATTTATTTTCAGGCTGGTAAGCTATTGCTTGTGTAAATGTTTTCTAATGTTGCAATCTGGAAGTGATACGTGCTTTCTATTGTTACCAGGTGGGTTCTTCTATTGTTACCAGGTGGGTTCTTGGTTTCACATATTGTCGTCAGTAGTTCTATGTAAATTTATCGATCAAAGTGTGAGTTTTTCTTAGACGGAGTCTGAGTCCTATTATAGTTGGGATTACCTACTCTGCAAACAAGGGGCAACGTTGCATCACCGAATAATCTGAAATGTAAAGTAATTTTGCTTGCAAATGAAATATGCTATGCTTTGTTTTATTCTGCTTTCAGCCTTATTCTTCATCAGTTCAGCTCTCTTTCTTCCTGTTATCCCTTCTTGGCTTCTCCCCTTCTTGTAGGACTGATGAAGCACCATTTAATTCATCATGGGCTTATTTTGCAGAAATTTTTGGATAGTTCGAAGTAAAAGAGACACTTTCTTATTCATACCGGAGCCAGAGATTATGTGTGCCCTCATGAAGGCTGTGGTAAGGTGATCACTCTGTCCCACTCTTGAGAATTCTATCACTTTTAAGTTTGTTTTTTTGGCTAGATTTCTGTAGGTGTATTTATGTCTAATTTGGGTTTGGTTGTCATGTTAGTGTGAGTTTTTTTTTTCTTTAAAGCTTTGCTATATGATAGGATTACAATATATACCTTCATCTGCTATTTTTGTATAAAAGCAATTTGCTTCCTGAACTATGTGGGTGAGATTTTTAAACCAAGGTTCAAAATATCAGCCGATACCGATACTAGTTGGCTGAGTCGTATCTAACTCGACACTTTCTGAGAAGATACCGCTTTCACGTTACGTGAAAGCTTTGACTCTGACACGACTTGGCTGATTCGTCTGAGAGAGTCAACCCCAAGATCGTCACAGAATCGACCGATACTGTTTCGTGATGCCACAATATGACTTGAATTTTTTGCCATATGCAATTCCTTTTTTCTAGGTCATATCGCCCGATGCAATTTCGCAACACCGCAACCCATGTGTTTGATAGCCCTCCGAGTTGATAGCCGATACCATGACCTTGAACCTTGTTTTAACAACTTCTATATCAATTTAACACTTTGTGTTTAGAAAACCGAGGAAAAAAATAAGGAAACATAAAGGGCAATGATATTGTTCGGACATTTATGTTCCATATTTGTTATGGTATTTTAAAACCAGAAAGTATATGTCGATAGTTTAGATATTATTTTTGGAGTTTGAGAAACCATCATTGTGATTTTTGCGGTATATTCAGTTTCCATTATTATTTTTTGGACAATTCGTGGAAATAATGAATTATATTACACATTATTGACACCCATTAGTGTCAGACTTCTCTTGCTGTTGTGTTTCGGATTTATCACAAAACTCGTGATTCCTGAAGCTTCTGTTTTTTGCTTCAACTTTCCTGTTGCACTCAATTTCTAACATGAAAAATACAGGCATTTTCCCTGGATTTCAACTTAAGGTCACACATGAAAACACATTCACAAGAGAACTATCATATCTTCCCGTATCCCGATTGAGGAAAGCGATATGCTCATGAATACAAACTAAAGAATCACGTCCAGACTCATCACGAAAGGTTGGTGCTTCCTTTCACGGTCCTTGTTTCGTTCATATTTGTAATGCTACTTTATTTTTAATTCATTTTTGTTTCTCTTATCATGATGTTTTGTTGCAACCAATAAGAACATGCACTTCTTTGTCCTTTAATATGAGTTGTATATTACCAAACTCAGTCTGCTTGTTATGGATGACAATAATTTTGCAAAGGAAGCATTTGGATGTCCAAATGGTATTTTAAATTCATTCTTTGTGTTTTACAAGCATTTCAAACACAAATTTTCATTTGAAATGGAACAAAGAGTTGTTCCAATAACAAGAAGTGAGAATGACTGCAGAAATGGTTGCTTATTGAAATCAAAAGATCATCTTGTACATATCGGGGAATAGACTCAACTTTGATGTGATATAAAGTTCACATTTTGATTGTAAACTGCTATCCTTAAGGCATCCAAGCAGTTCATATCTCTAAAGGAACATGTTGGGGGCCAAACAAACTTGGTTTGATGTCATACTTTTGATTTTGTGATTGATAAAACTCATTTACACGTAAACTATGTTCTTAAAAGCTTTTCGTAACAGTTGGGGTTGAATTTTAATTTTCAATTTCCTCAACAATTTGAATGGGGCATGGTAGATGTGACAAAGTATGTCCCACCTCCTCCGGAGAAGCCATCCAAAACTCCGAAAGCTGCTGCTGTGGCACATGGCTCTGCGTCATCTGACCGACCTTATGCTTGTCCTTATGATGGGTGTGAAAAGGCCTACATCCATGAATACAAACTGAACCTTCATTTGAGGAGAGATCAGCCTGGCCATTTCCCAGATGAAAATGCTAAGAATGCTCAATCTAATGTTGATAATGAGATGGATGAAGCCAGTGATCAAGATGCATATGGTGGAAAATGCGGAAATGGGAAAATTCAGAAGCAAAGCAGCAGGCCAAAGCCAAACTTGAAGCTGCCTCCTTCAAAATTGTGCAGCGCAAAGGCTCTAGTGCTTCTCTAACCAAGACAATGCATTGAAAAAACCATGGTCTGTTAAAGAAGAATTGTACTAGGAAGAAGATAGTGAAGAAACGGAAGAGGACCCCGGCAATGTTGAGAATGGGAGGATGTATGGGGAGAATAACGAGGACGATGACGAAGAGACGGAATACGAGGATTAGGATTTGATCATCGAACACTATCCTTACTCCATGTTTCCATGTAAACTGATTTTCTTCCTTCTGAAAATGGATGTGTTTATAGCTTTCGGTACCATATTCTACTTGAAGCATATAGTTATATTTTCCAAGTAAAAATATGTGTGTGTGTGTGGGAGAGAGAGAGAGAGATGATAATATTTTTGCAATTTTATGATAGGTGAATGTCTTCTAGACTTGAAAGTTAAGATGGGTTTTCATCTTATTAATGTGCTAATGAATGTTCAAGTTTAGGGTTCTTATATATTTTGGATTATGTATCTGCGAACCGATGTTTGGTCTTAAGTTTGGAATTTGAGATGGATTTGGCATTTGTTTGACTGATTTTTGTTGTGCGCTTAAAGATTTCTGTGGAAATTGTGTTATGGGTTTTGCTTTATTATTATAGGTTATATCTACTAGATTTGGATATTTGATGATTTCGTTTGATTATGTGGTTTTCCATGAGAAACTTAATACCATATTAAACAACTATATATTCTCAAAGTTATTTATACTAAAACAGAGGTCCTCTCTGCTGAGACAATCTGGACCAAACAATGGTAATTCCCCTGCCCCAATCATCCAAAGGGATGGGCATACATACATCATTCAATTAGAGTCGTTTGATCACGTGTTTCAAATTCTTTTCAATATTTTATCGTATCACCTTCAATGATATATTAACTACCAAATATTCGTGAGTTTTTTCCTTTTTTTTTTTAGGAAACTTCAAAAAAAAAAAAAATGACATGGCAATTACCTAACAGCATTACATTACAACAGTTGAATCCACGACAAAGAATTTGAGGATTTTTTTTTCAAATTCTTTTCAAGGGAGGGGGAGGGGGAGGGGGAAGGGGAAGAAAATAGGGAATAAGATTGGAACTCACAATCATTTGCCTTTGCCAGCAAAAGTGAGCGCTTAACACTACTGACTAACTCTCTCTCTCTCTCACCTCGATAGAATTTGAGGGATAATTAATTCAAATCCGTATTCACTTCCCTCCAAAAAACACACTTCATTAATCCGTTCACCACAAGGAATTTCCAAACGTGTTTCAAAAAAATTCAATTGACTCGAAAACCGGAATCAAAAGATCCAAACAACACTTAAAAACTATTTCAGAGATGGTTTGTGATTATTTGTCTTGCTTTGAAATGGCTTATGTTGATTCGATTAGTTTCCTTGGTTTTTGTGAAGGTTAAATTAGACCAACTGCCCTTGATGTTTTGGCTTACAACACAGGGTACCACTTATGTCTGAGAAATTACAGTGACCCCCTAGAGCTAGAGGTTGTAATCACTATTTCCTGATGTCATAACGAAACCCCAGGAAGGCAATTTTCCCCATCGATGTTCCAACTGATCAATGAAATAGGTTAGCCATTGGCTCAATTTATCATGATGAAAATGCCCCGTTCTATAGTTGAATGAACTACCCACCCCTCATTCTCTCTTCTTCTTGTTTTCTTTTCTGTTCAAACCAATGAGCACTTCCTTACCTATTACCACAACCCATTCTTTTGAGGGATAGGGACCATATTCTCTAGGTTCATCAAGGTGGGTGGGAGTTGCTACTTATTCATATGTGTAGAAATTTGGTCTTGTATGTTGAGGGCCACAGTGGAATGATAATGAATGATGGACATGCTATGTGAAACCATGGTAAGATAGCCCCCAATTATCATACAGATACACAAACATACAAAGGCAGACATAGTAGAGTGATTCCAACCTCGGTTCATGTCTGATGGTATAATGGGGATACATTCCAAGAATCAATGGTTGTAATATGTTGTGAATGGGCTCACACCCTACAGGTTTTAAGTTTTTAGATTAACATGAGTTTCAAATATGTAATTTAACCACAATTCCGAATATGCATATTGGGCATGTTGTGTTGGACTGCACTTGTCTCCAACACAAATGTAATGGGTGTTTGGTGCAACGGTGGAGGGAGGAAGTGATGTTGGTGGTGGTGCTCATTGTTTAAAGTAGTGGCCGATATTGATACTAGTCGGCACCTTCCAAGATGATGCCGTTACATGATCCATATAAATCTTGAATCTCGCACTACTCGGCCGAGTTGTCCGAATTGTATCTAAGGCAATCTTGAGTTATTTTTACCAAATCGACCGGTTCGGTTCCACGATGTTTCATTATGATTTGAATCTCTCGTCATGCTTAACATTTTATTTTAGGACGTATTGTTCGATAGCGCAACACAGCGTGACGCCACGATCGATGTATCCAGAGCTCTACGAGTCGATGACTAATATCACAACCTTGAACCATGGTAGTGTTGTGTATTGGGTACGGAACAGTGGTTCAAGGGGACAGTGATGATGTTGTGGCTAGAAAGCACGAATACTCATCGGAGGAGTGCGTGGCAGTGTTGGACATGTGTCCAACAAGTAAACACATTGAACACAATTAGAAGTATTCTGAATAGTAAATTCAACATAGCATGACTAGGACACGACCAGGACATAGTTAGGAGTTGGACAAGATACAACCAGGAATTTTTTTTTAAAAATTCACGACTATTGACTATTAAGAGGGATATAAATTTCTTTATTTTTTTTTTTTTTGTGTTATTTGTTATGTAACTTTTGGATTATGAATGTTAATGGATGTAATGATACTTGATGAAAATGGTGGATGATTTATTTTTTCCATTTCAATTTTAATGAAAAAAAATAATATTTGTTAGACCTTATTATTAATAGTACTACAAAATATGCTTTGTTTTTAGCATATTATAATTCTATTATTATCCAAAATATAAACAATTATTTTAATTAATCATTTCTTTGTCATACTCGTATCTTATATTTTTGAACTTTGTCATATCTTCTTATCCGTATCATATCAGATATGGCACCCATACCCGTGCTTTCTAAAGTGGTGGTGATTGCATGGATAGTTAATTGGGTAGCAGTGGTGGCTGCATGGATGGAGTTGGTTCTTAGGGGGTGATAGTGCTTTCTCAAGTTGGTGTAATGTAGTCCTCCTTTAGATTATTACATATTTCGACTTTGAGATTGATTATCGACTTTTGGTTGAAAATCTAGATTAACATTTTGTTTTCCATTGGTTTCAGTCTTTGGATTTAGTCCTCCGGTGTTTGATTACGGCAGCATGATGGATCCTCAACCAGGAAGGTGTAGAAGAACTGCTGGGAAGAAATGGAGTGTAGTAGAGATGTGGTTCCAGGCCAGTACTGTGAGCGGCATATGCACAGAGGCCGTCAGCGTTCAAGAAAGCATGTGGAATCTTCTAAAAATATTTCAGAATCTGATACAACCATAACCATCACAGCGACACCACTACAGCTATCAATTCTTATAACAGCACCAATACAATCGCCAATCTCTCTATTTCTGTCCCTCCCAATCTTCAACTCATGATTCCCTCTTCCGACTACAGCAACAATGTCCCTGCCACTGCTGAAATTACCACTACCTCCTCTAGTAGTGGCAACAGTAGAGTGACCAAAATCAATGTCATCAGTGACTCATCTGCCACCCCTATCACCATCAATTTCTGCAATAGCAACAATAGAAGCAAAAACATTGTTGGTGTCAATAGAGACACCACCGTCACTACCACCACATTCATCAGTGCAGTTGCTGACAAATCCAACAGCAAAGACAACAACCACTGCATTGGCGACAAGGACACCGGATTTGACCATTCCAATTACAGATTGGTAAAGAGAAGCAACAGCAATGTAAAAGAAGTCAAAATTGGTGGTTCTGTAGCTCCAAGATTTGGCATCTCCCCGAAGAGTGTTCTTCAAGGTGGTACTACTAAGAACAAAATCCCTTGTCATTTGATTTTTCACTACTTATTTATTTTTGACTGATGTTATTTCCTCATGAGTTTTGAACAATTGTTACGTTCTACATCTATTTTAGTTGGACTATCCTAGACTTTCTTGAAAAAAAAATTGCACTGAATTTCTTTCGTACATATGTTTTGGATTAAATTTGCTTAGTAGGTTTTTTTGATAAATGTGAAATGTGGTTTGTTCCTCTCTACCATTCCTTGCAGTCACAGGTTGCAGTAGCTCAGTCTTTGAATACAGTACTTCTGCAGATACTGATTTACAGAGATGTAGAAGAACCGATGGTAAGAAATGGCGATGTAGTAGGTGTGTTGTTCCTGATCAGAAGTATTGTCAGCGGCACATGCACAAGGGGGGTAAGAAAGCTATATATAGCCTCGGACTCGGCAATTATTTTCGGGGCCGCTCCTCCCACAGATTGGAGTTCTGCTGCTCCTATTGCTAAACCTAAAAAGCTTGATAATCGCATAAACTTGAACATCAATCTCTCTGTCTCAATCACTCCAAGTCTTCAACAAAAAACAGATAGTGAAAATAGTTCTACCAGAAGCAGCAGCAGCAGTGACGCCACCACCATCATCGACAAATATACCAGCATCTGTAATATGATCTCTCTATCACCATAAAATCTATGTATAACTAATACTTGTTAAACTCATAATCATGTTGCAAGCCTCTTGAGACTACATTTGAGGAGAGATTTTCTAACGAGGAAACAGATTGTTTTGATGATAATATAGGTGATTTTTGAGTATCTTGGTATGCAATTGTTTAAGGTAATTATTCTTAGATCATTCTTTGGTAGTGACAGGTTTATTCAGAACAGGGAGAGGAGGAATTTTGTTATGCTTTAAGTCTTGGATCAATTTTGTTATGCTTTGAGTCTGGATTATGTTTCATTGTGCCAACATGCCATGGCAAACGGGGTTAAAACCAAGGGGTCGTGTCAAGAAACACAATTAACTGCTCATTCTTCAAGAAATACAAAATGTATATGCCCTTCATTGGGATTTGACTCCTCTAAACCCACGATGGATTGGTTCAATAATCATACAAAGAACGAGATGTAAACACATACTAAATCCGAGTCTTGCTGTTCACAAACCCAAGTTAAACTAATGTGCATATTATGCGGGTAACAACTATGAGTCCAAAGAAAGCATAATTACCAAGATTTTTTTTTTTTTTTTTGAGTCTTCTTCAAAAGGCTATTTGTAGATTTAAGCCAACCTGCAGTGGTTCAAGACATACTTGTTCACCTCTTTTACTTGATGGTGGAAGGAGATTTTACCATGGCAATTGATGCCGAATTCAACCAACCTATCAATTTGATGAAAGGAAACTAAAGACTCCTATCTTAATTGCAATTAAACAAGCCAGTAGTCAGCAACTCTGAAAATGCATGTAGTCCAAAAGGAGAAAAGTTCAAATTCTTGTCCAGGTTTTTTAAGCAAATCAGTAATTGCATACTTAATGTGAACAGATTAGGAAAACTTTTATCTGATCAAGGTGGTAGGTGCAGGAAAACACAGATGATAGGAAGTTACAAAAGATGATGAAAGGTTGGAAGCTACATAATGAACTGAGTAGTCGAGCTGTTCTACCACAACATTATAACATCAGACACAGAGTGCGACCTAATTCCTCGATCATCAAGAGATGGGAACGAAATTACTACGGTCAGCTTCAGCAGGTACCTGTGGGATCAGCATTCTTAATTATCCAAGGGTGCTCCATGATCTTCTCAAGAGAGAGCCTTTTTGACGAGTCCTTCACTAGAAGCTGCACAAAGTTAAGGCAACATTTTTACCAATGCAATTATATCCTTTTGCTGCTAAACATGAAATTGTGGACATACTCACTAGTCAACTTACCCGGCTAATGAGATCTTTAGCTTCTGCAGACACATAAGGGGTGGAAGGGAAGCTGAGGTCAACCTTCATAATCCTATGTGCAATTCAATTTAAATTCATGATCTACAACTGTTCCGGTTCAAAGTAATGATTTACAAACACCAGGTGAAGCAACATATTATTCATTCCTCACCTTCTGAATGTATCTGATTGGCTCTCTGCCTCAAATGGAGGCGCACCATACAAAAACTCATAACAGAGGATACCCAAAGTCCAATTATCAACCGCATAGTCATGAGCTTTGTTCTCCACCATTTCTGGTGCTAAATAGTCCAAAGTTCCACACATAGTGTGTCTCTTGCTTCTTGATTGTACAGACCATCCAAAATCAGCAATCTTCAGTCGGCCCTACAATTGTTACTACGGTAATTTTACTTAAATATGGAACCCAAATTTTATGGCATGTTCTGAACTTTTGGACTAGTAATTGGTTTGATAACTACCGGTGTGGAATGTCACGGTTTCAGCTATTTCAACCAAAAGGCTGAAAAGCCTATATTGTCAAAACTATAATCTTGTTAGGCAGATTGCTAAAAGAAACATTAATTTTCACCAACTCAATTGTGTGCATATTGCTGAAATCATGCTTCATCAGACACTTATCACATGTTGCAACATGAAGCAAACAAATCTCATGGTTTTAACTTTTAAGGAACCTAAACAAATCTCATGAGTCATAGGTCAGGTCATGAAAATGAAGGAGCAAAATCCCCATCCTTGTGACCCATGTAATGATTTCTGGTTTCAACTTTCTAAATTAATCTTAACCAAATGAATCGCTCAACAATATAATTGATTAGAAGTCTTATGACTATTCTTGTTCACTAAATTCAATTTCAGGCCATAGCAGATAAATCATCTAAACGTCAATGTGCAGTTCTCGTCTCTCCCCACAATCGGGAAGAAAACCCAACAAATGAGTAGAAAATCCAGCTGCTTCAACAAATTGCAAGCCATTATAAGGGATTCAGGAGCATTACCTCGTGATCAAGTAACAAGTTCTCCGGCTTGATATCCCTATGAATTACATGCTTCTCATGACAATACGCCAACGCTTGTGTAAGACTCGAAATGTACTGATAACACAGAAAAGTATAAATCAAACTACAAAAACCACTAAAATTTCAAAACAACGTAACAAATATATAAAAGAAATCAACTAAGACAAAATACATGAAACCCACTAAATACAAACAAGGCATAAAACCCTATCATAATTCAATTGAAATTGACAAAATTGTTGACTGAAAACCCTAATACCAAAGTATATTATATTAGACCCACACATGTGAATTTTTGAGAGAGAGAGAGAGAGAGAGTTGATTACAGTGGCGGCTTGTTTTTCGGTGAGATGGCTGGTTTTTCGGAGCTCCTTATAGAGCTCACCACCATGGGCATACTCCAAAATCAGGTAAATTCTCTCTGAATCGTGAAACCAACCAAAGAGTCTCAAAACATTGGGATGACGAAGACTAGTCTGGATCTCCATCTCTCTCCTCAACTGGTGGTGCAACCTATACTTCTCTATCTGCTCTTTGAATATCACCTTCAATGCCACTATATACTTGCTCTGTAACAGGAAACCAAAATTTTCAATTCCATGGCAATGGAAATCAAATTCCTCTACAAAATCTTCATACATGTAGCAAAGTGTGCGTGCGTGTACCTTGGTTTCTCGGGCGAGGTAGACGCGGCCGAATTTGCCTTTGCCGAGGGGTTTTCCAATCTCGAAGTCTTGCAAGGACCATTGTTTTTGGGGATTCTTTTCAGTTTGAGAAGGCATTTGCTTGCAATTGATTCGGAGCCACAGTTGAATATTAGAAGTATATGTGCATGTGTCTGAGAGAGAGAGAGAGAGAGAGAGAGAATGCCAAGAGTCTGAAAAGTTGACAAATAAATGTTGTTCAGTAAAACATTGTTTTAGGAGATCATCATATCCGTATTACCCTACTATGTCAGGGGTGACCAATTATTTAAATCTGAATTTAAATTTTTTTAAGTATATTAATATTCAATCCAATTATGTTCAATTCAAATTATATAATATATCTATAAACAAATATATGAAGAAATGAAATTATTATTTGATAAAAGTGAGTTGAAACTCAAGTAAAATTTAAGACCCGTTTGTTGGTATTTTTGGGGTCATATGGTAACGATTTTGTTTTCGCGTCTTCAAAAAAAATAAAAAACAGGAGACAACTTTTGTCTATGTTTTGTGGTAAACACTGAAACAGAAAACATGTTTGGAAGTCATTTTTGTCTATCAAATTATGAGAATAAAAACAAAAACATGTTTGGAAACTACTTCAAGTTTTATCTTTATTTACTTTTATGGTCAAGAATATACATTACTTTTATTTTATTTACAAAATTATAATGATTCATAATTGATGGTAAGAGTGAAACAAAAGAGAAGCAAAAGCAATGTCCACAAGCCACCAAGCTCCAACCTCCTCCATCTTGGTTTGCACTAGTGCTCTCTCTCACAATCTCATCCCACATTGGACCTTTGTCCTTCATCATCTCCACCATGCTCACCTGCTCTTTACCCTCTTCATACCCCACCATTCGGGTTTTGGAAACACATTTCTTGTTAAGTAAATGAATATGAAAAAAAAAATAGGGGTCGTTTGGTAACCTTTGACAATGCTGGTAAAAGAGTGAATTCCAAGACATCATGATAGAGGTTGATATTAATCTCACATAATTCACACACATATATATAAATATAATAGTGTCATAAATGTTGTAGAAAAAACCAAGGCGACGTTGCAAACATGAATCAAAAGCTCTATGCAAGAATAGTGGGGTAGATTAAAACTAACATAAAACTAAATCAGTAAAATAAATCAGTAAATAAAGAGCTAAATCAGTAAATTAACATAAAACTAACAGAGCTAAATCAGTAAACTAATCAGCTCGGTGATTTTGCAGAAACCTAACATACATTGCAGAAAAATAACATAAAACTTATATGAAACATGAAAACACAGATGTAATAATGACTAAAGAGCTAAATCAGTAAATTAACAGAATTAAGAACAAAGGGGTCACTAACTAAATGGTCCATTAATCATCCCTCCCTACCGATACACAGCCTGACCTGGGTGGATTTGATATTGGGTTGTCATCGTTGTGGGAAAGGGATGCCTCTCTCTCTCTCTCTCTCTATTCACTGCTTACACACATTCCCTACACTTACATATATGCATACAATGCAGTACTCATAAAAGTGTAAAGAAATAACGGCTCTCTATGTTTCTTTCAGTGAAAGTGAGAAAAGATCAGAAAACTAGCTGCCCCCCAAAAAAAGTTGTTCAGTGATAGACAAAAACTCAAAATTAATAATGAAATCTAAAATATGCCAAAATGTATACAAATATAAATCAACTAAACCTAAAATGGACCAAAAACAAAACTAAATCTAACATAATAGCAAACACTAGAGAAAGTAGAGATCGAGTGACACAGAGAAGACGATGTATCTACCTAGTCCTGATGTGTCTCAGACTATCGAGTGAAGAATCAATGGAAGAGATATCTGCCGAACAAGGAACACTGGTCTCGATTGAAGGATCAACCGATCAAGGACGATCGAAGATCTGAGTCTTTGAGGAGAGCAGAGGCATTGAGGAGTGAGGATCGATCAATTTTGGGCATAAATGCCCTCAAGTCTATTTTTATAAAATTTATATTGACCCTTCCGGTTTTTTCAAAACCGTCCGGTTCCTTGGGTTAATTATAAAACCGGCCGGTTTATTAGATTTTTCCTGGTTCAATTACTCGAATGTTCTAATGACCAAATCGGCCCGGATTGAGCTCCGATTCACTGGGTCAACCAGCAGGGCCGGGCAGATTTTTAAAACACAGGCTGAGAGAGTTGCACGGAGAGAGAGAAAGAAGAGAAGATTGAGAGAGTTGCAAAGAAGAGAGAGGCTGTTAGAGTGTAGTCTCTGAGGACGAAAATATGAGAAAAACTAACCAGATTCGAAGTTGAGATCTCGTATAAACTAAAAACGCGTGTTTTGTGTTTCGAGCGTGTCTTGTAACATATTTTTTTTTGTTCTCATTTTTTAGACTTGTTTCCAAGACAAGTAATATGAAACAAAAAACAAAAATAATTATAAAATATATATATATTTTTTTTTTTTTATAAAAATTAAAAACAAAAACATAAAACACAAGACAAAAACACCAAACAAACATCCCCTACATGTCTAACAAATTAAGAAAATGGATATGGTTTAGACAATGAATAACTCTAGAATATTCCTAATTAACTCTCATTTTAAATAAATAATAAAAATAAAATAGAAGATAATCTAAAATCATTCTTCATAAAATTGATTCAAAAAACTTAAAATCAAACTCAATTTTTTAGGATTAGTTCTGAGGATTTTAGAGCCGATCTTAAATTTTTAGAACTTATTGATTAACTAGTTATTGCATTTGACTAAAAACACTATGTAACAAACAAAAAAATCATAAACAATTACTTAGATTCAAAAAGAGTGGCTTAAAAATATTCATATCAATTCTACTTTAAAATGACCTGAAATATATTGTCAATCACATCTTCTATATTAATGGAACTGTCATAAAAATGAACAAAGAACTCCTCAAAACAACACAACATATATAAATAGCCAGAAAAAGACAAATACTAATAGAACCTAATAAAATTTACAATCTTAAGTAATAAATAAAATCAGTAAAATCTTACTCATTTATAAGACTCATAAATTCATCACCACTACCACCATTCAATCCAATATCACAACATAACTATAAACTCAATTATCAAATTACAATCCAACCCCATGTAATAAATACCTCAAACAAAAATAAATAAATACTAACAAAATATAATTAAATTCATAATATTCAAGTAATAAATAAAATCAACCAAATTTTATTCATTTTTACGACTCGTGAATTTATTATCACCATTCAATAACCAAATGTCTAATCCCAAACATGTAACTACACAAAAAAACACATCCACACACATTTCTTTTTTTGGCTACGGGGCAAAACCCTCATAACCAACAATTGTTTTTGTTAAAAATACAACAATTCAAGCTTTTAAGAGAAAATAGTAATAAATTATAGTCTAATTAAAAAATAGTGTTAGAAAATCATCAAAATACCTCATAATTATTGTCAAGTGAAGCTTCTAGAGGAATGAAAACCCGCCCACACAATCTTGAAAGACAAAAAAAATATCAAATTACGTACCACACAATCATCGCCCATCCATACCTACTTCACCCATTTTTAGCAAAATCTAAAAAAATATAACTTCACAAATGGATAAAACATAATCAATACCTAATTGTCTACTGAATTTGCAAGGACAAAACCCACCCACAACCCAATAACATAGATATCAAATTCCACACCCACACAACCATCTCCCAACACAACTTCCCCCAAATATAGGAGAAGAATGAAAACCTATAAAATAAAACCAAAAGTTCTAGTGTTCAACAGTAAAGAGGTCAACCTAAGTAATGTCCAAAGCAATTATAAGTCTATCTTCAATTGAGCCACCTAAATAAACTCAAACACAATAGTAATTTTTAGTTTTGTTATTGCAATTACAGAGAAGCACTAACATTGACAAAACTCCATCCACTATCGAATTAAAGAGAGACATACTGATTATAGAAAATAGGTATGAAAGCACTTTAATTGCCTGTACACAATTCTAATTTAGAGAAATTGAGGCGAAATAGTATAACCGTCGACAGACTCCTAGTTCATGTATCAAAAACACATATAAAAAATAGAAATTAATTTAGAGACAGAGAAGGATGAAGTCAAAACTAATTTAGATATAGAGAGTGAGACTTCTTAACAGTTATTAACCAACAGAAAAGTGTTGTTGACACATGTTGCTTTTGATATGAATGAATGACTGATGTCAATTGTTTTCAGATGTAATCCAAGTTTAAGTGACATAATTTTTATTCTTTAAAAAGATAGGACACGTTCCATACTATCTTAGGACATACAGGTTTGTTTGTTGCCTGTCTTGATGACTGTTTTTGTTAGATAGGGTGAATATGTGTTATTGGTGTTTACATGTGTTCGCTTAAGTGATTTGGCAATTATGACGGAGACTTTAGGTTCAATTTTTGCACTTAGATGATTAATTGAAGTGGTAGGCTTGATTAGCACGAACATCTTTTTATCAACAGGTTGTCTTTCTTCCCCCTTAATCCTTTCTTTTAAAATTGTTTACACATTCATGCTTATCTTGTGAATATTTCTTATGATTCTACTGGAATTATTTCTGAAGAACTGATGCATTTTGATTTTTTGCAGGTCATGTCCTCATTTGATTGTAAAAAACTGTATTTCCAAGATTTTTTTTGCTTATGATGGAGAATGCACATGTGCAGCATGCATGACAAGAACATGTTGTTTTTCTCATATTTATGTTTCATTTATTAGCGATGGATATAATCATTGGTATGAATTTTTATTGGTATTAGTAGGTGCACACGTGCAAACCATTTTGAGTTAACATTAAAAAATAATATATCAAAAAAAAATGTCATTATAAGAGCAATTCCAATTTTTAAACTCAAATTTAAATTAGGTAAAAAATTTCTAAAAATCTTCTCCAATGTTAAACTCATCCATATCAAATCAAGGAAGACTCATTTTTTCACTCAAATTCATGCTCAAATATTTAATAGTGAAATTTTACCCTCTCCATTAAAAATCTAATTATCATATTTCACCTTCTTTTAAATTTGAATTTATTCTCATTTAAATTTGAATTTCTCTTTCTTTAAATTTAAGTTTCTCTACTAGAGAGATCTATACCAAATCAAACTTTTTACCCCTTTTTTTTCACTCAAATTTGGGTGAGGGTTTAAATTTCCATTGAAGATGGTCTAATTGCACATGATCTCCTTCCCCCATTGTGCAGTGCAAAGAACAAATTAATTAATACACAATATTAGATTAAACATATTGCTATCAAAAAGTGGGGGACTTTCTCATCAATCGCTCTATCACATTGCAAATTCTACATGACCATACTTGATCGTACTTTCACCATAGTGTCGAGAATCACGGCCCTCTCATTACCTAATTTTGGAGTTTTAAGACAAATTTTAAAAAGAAAAGACAATTAATCCACAAAAAGGAAAGTAAAAGAAATTGGGAAAAGCAAGAAAATGTATGTGAAATAAAAAAAATAGCATTCTTTTTGACAAATCAAAAACTCATTATAGGTGGCAAACAGTGAGATGCTGCCCAAGCACACAGTGAGTATTTAAGAACTCAACTTTCTTACTACACCTAAAACCATTTCTCCAAGAAGTCCATCCAACTATATTACCCAAGAGGAATATTCTCTGTAAAAGACTAAAAGAGACATTTAGCTTGAGCACCTAGTTTTTGACCCCATCAAAAGTTGCCCTGCTATTTTTTTTTTCCATCCAAATGGACCATACAAAGAAGGGAGTTCTCTTCTTGAATTCTACTGGAAGATGAACAGATGGGCAACTACCATTCCTTGTATACTGCTTTTTTTTTTGGGAGGGTGGGTACCATTCCTTGTATACTGCTGATAGGCTTTCAATTCCTATTTTGCAAGTAGAATCTGTAAAACACATCAATACCAATAAAAATTGACAAAAGGGATATTATTATTGCATTGTAAAAATAATCAAAATATATTTGACTGAAATTTTCATGTTTCATTGTAATTTCCAAAAAAAAAAAAAGGGAACATGGGCATTGACCATTATTTGAGGTTCTAGAATATTCGTTAGAAGTTGCGTTATGTCACCTTAAAATAAAGGAATCTTAATATAAAACGTAGTACCAACTACCTACAAAAACGTATTACTCTACATGCGCTTTGCAGAACTTAGAATATGAAAGTCAATGTTCAATTTGACCGAGTTTAGAACATATAAGAAAACTAGATGTACAATGAAACTCAAATTTATGAAATGATAAGTTCTACCTGACTTCTGAAGGGCAATGTAAGGTGGATAAGGGTCATAGGCAACATCAAAAGCTTGAAAAAGAGAGGGACAGAGATGTGGTAGTTGATCAGTGCAAAGATGTCATGTGAAAGAGAGGCACACATGAAGTACAAAGGTAGTGGAAATTTTACTATTTTGACGAAGTGGATTATGAAGCGGCACCCGGAATTATGTGCTAATTACTGATTAAGATAATTTAGACTATTGATTTAAGAGTAAAATAAAAATAAAAGTGAATTTTTCTAGGTAAGTCAATAATCAAGAACAAACTAAAATCATGATAACAATACAATACCAAAGAAGATCCATGATCACATTATACCGAATATAAGCAAATAACACAATCTGATTCCTTAACTGCAGCATTTTGGAACAAAAACATTTTCATTGATGAAGGAAAAGGAATTTTCAAGTCGTTTTCTCTGTTTTACGTGAGGATAACATCTACGTAAGGGTGTGAGTGTGACCAAAAACAACTGTTAACCAAGTGGACCAAAAAGGTTCTTGAAGGCATCTAGATAAAGAGTGCATTGATTCATTGCACAAAATCATGATTAATAAAGAGATAATTTTGACAAGGCACAAAAGGAATATTCACTAGCAACGTTTTTCGTCACCGTTAGGATGTGGATTCTTCAAGTATTATTGAGAAGAATTGGCCCCCTTTTGAGAATGGTCACAGATGGAATAAAGACTGGAACTTTGTCTAAGGTTTTAAATGTGACATATTCATTTGGTCTGCTAGAAAAAAATGTTGATTAGGATTCTTCCTTATCAAATCCAAGGGATACATGTCAGCATCTCTTCTTGCATGGAACCATACACATTTGCCACGTCAGCAAACGTGGGCCAGACTACCATGGTCAGAAGGCCTCCTCATGGTTCATGTGTGGTTACTTTCCTGGAGCATATTATTAAGGTAGGCACAATTTCATTGCCATTTGCTGTCCTCTTCCCACAAGTAAGTTAGGGGTGCACCTAGTGGCCATCCTCTTCACACTCTATTTGCATACATATGGGCATGGCAGCCTCTGTTGTTGGAAAAATGGAATCATTTCCACTTATATTCTGTGTAAATTTCCATCTGATACAAAAAGTTTGGGGGTCCTTGCTGAATTTTTACCCTAAAGAATGAGACTTTTAGACTAAACAGCAGTGCAAGGCTCAACAAATATGAAACACTATCCTGCCCTTAATTGAAAAGTTATAGAACTTTTGTATGATATACAAGCTATTGAGAGAGTTGTATTTACTCACCTTTTCTGTCTTCTGCTGGCATTTAATTACCAATACATTTGTTTCTTTTTTTTTGGTCAGATGAGTTGTCACCTCACGGTTTGTGACAACTTTGGCCCCAAAGCGACATCATCAACCAATCTAATGAAAAAATAGAAGTAAAACCCAACAGATAATATCATCAACCAGTCTCATATTTTGCCATTGATTCATTCAAGTTCGTGAAACAAATACTAATTTTGATCAAAACCCCGAAAAAATAGCAAATTCCACTTCAATAAAGTGAAAATACAAGTTCTACATCCATGAAGTATGCCAAGAATTTATGTTTGCTTTCATTTAATCAAGAGAGAATATAGGAGCCAATACTTTTCAAGTTCTACATCCACTTCTTTTCCCACTCCTTAGATGAAATTAAAAACCTACAATAAAAACGCCTGGACAGAAATTGTGGTGCTTCCATTCCCATATCCATATCCAAGCAATGAAAAAAGATAATACCCTTAAGGACCAAAAATAAAAATCACCACTTATTAAAGACACAAGAAGACTTTTAGCTTGGTTTGCTTCCATGCCGAGAGAACCATTTACACAATTTGACTACATCTAACATGCCTACAAATCCTTGTGGCCAAAGGTGTGCAAAGAAATGGGTTAAAAGAGAAGGGTGAGTCCTTGATAGAGGCAAATCTTGAGGAAATGGAAGCTGAACACGTGTATATATACATAATGGGGTATACAAAAACTAAAGACAATCATGTTTTAATCTCTTTAGTGTCGGAGAAAGAAGCCAACCAAGAAAATGAAAGCAAAACACCTGAGCAGTTATAATAGCCAAGTATTTTGTGAATAATACTATCAATATCTAATAATAAAATAAGTCCAGCAAATATAGTTACAATAACTTTATTGGCCATTTCAATTGCCACATTATTAAATCAACTTATTAGGTCAAATTAGCATGTCTCAATAGCATCGCCCTTATTTTGCACATTGGGGCTAAGTGTCTTAAGAGGGATTGTAGCTAGAAAACCATTCTCATTAGTGATGCCTATGGTTCACACTAAGACCAACCTTGACTTTAATGCATGCATACGGAGCAAAAACATAGCGATCACGATCAACATTTTAATGTAAGTAGTTTAAATCATAATGCCAATAAATTTTGATGGAGAAAGGACTTTGACATGTTTGGGATAGATCTATTGGAAATGATATCATTTTAATTGGTCCTCAATAATAAAAATGTAAAATAATCCGAAAACACAATACTTCCCTCAATTCCCCTTCCATATATAAAATTGATGAAAACAACAAATAAATTAATGAAACGGAATATTAACTTCTTTCTCCACTTCGTCCATTGTAATTGCAACTCCACAATCACAGTACGGCTTCCCATAAAATTTATCTAATTTCAACTTTATAAAGAATGCCAAAAAAACTTAAATGCATGAAACATCTTGTTTATTTGAACTTTCACCTAAATAAAAAATAAGTATTCAGCACAAATTTTTTAAAAAGACGAATGAGAATAAAAGTAAAAGAGCATATCTCACAAGCAAGATTGGTGACATCAAAAGGAAGAAACATTGTTGCATACATGTGCTCAAACAGAGTGTTTTGGGCATGCAACTCCCTGAACACATTCTTTTCCAACCTCTAATCTTATTTTTGAACTTTACCATGTGTATTCTACAAAAAGAACCAAGAAATTTAACTTATAGTATATTGGTGACAACCTTTTAAATCTTTGAGAAAATTATCAAGACAAGCCTAAAAATTTTGGATTGGAAATATTCATAACTACGGAAAAGACTATGATACCAACAATTACGTATCCAAAAATACCAAAGTTAGAAGTCAAGTTACACATTGTAAAAGAAAAATTATAACTATTTATGGTCGAACACAATATTTCATGTTTATAATTTGACCTTAAAACGTTGTAATTTTCAGTACAATACCTAGATCGTAATCTTCCTCAATAATTAACAATATCATAATAAAAGGGATTTTCCAAACTTTTGGACATATGATTGCCTTCGTGCCATCATCTAATCCATCTTTGCTTGAATTCCAATAAACTCTGGAATGTTCGAATACGGTATGACACAGTCATACGAGGCAACCTTTTTCTTTTTTTTTTTGTGTTGAATGATGATTGAATCTATAAAATACAAAATTGCATTCTTTTAATCATGATAGAGTATATAATTGATAAAGAAGATGTACATGATCTTGCTCCCACAAATACTGTGCTTTATTGTTATTTCTATTTGTCAATCAATAATAAAGTTTTAAGAATTATATATGAACAAGTTGATGAGAAAAAATATTTTTAACCAGTAGATGGACAAAATAGGTTGATCAACTGTTGAAATTATTCTGAAAGAGGATTCAAATCAATCCTAGGTCAGTCATCATCTATACATTGGTGGGGAGCACACTTAAATATAGATCATCTTAGTTGGACTCATCACATAGAGGATCAATCAAAGGAATTGAGGGATCAAAGCTAGTGCCCGACATCTTACTTTGAGGTCTGGCCAACGCAGAACACTGAGGGAATCAAATAGACAATCTACTGTAAGTTCTACTTTTTTTTCCACCATTCTTTAGTCACTTATCCAAATTAGCTGAAATTCAAATAAACCCAAGTATTTAAGAACAAATTATATTAACAACGAGTGTATTTGAGTGAGTTTTTGAGAGAGAGAGAGATCAAAAGTACCTTAGGTAGAAGTCATCATCCTATCATTTAAGGCTCCTTGGAAAGCAGTACGGAAAATACCAATCCGGCTCTCCCCCTGAATGTAAACATGTTCATTATTAAAGACGGACAAAACTGTGAAAACACAGCACTTCTTGAAGAAAAATGCATACCCATTACAGGAAACATAGAGATTCAAACCCTACAATCGTAAACCATAGAAACAAGGGAAAATATGATACCCAAAAACCCTAGGGTTTTAGCAATTGCAAGAATATCAGAAATATAATAATTCCAAGAACATTGAGAATGAGAAAGCTAATTTTTCTTGACTCGTTAAATTAATAACAACAAATTTAAAAAAAGCAAACCTGAAGAAAATCACACATTCTCAGCGCCTGGTGTCGTTACTGCTAAGCAGTGCGATTGAGCCTCAGAGAAAATGAAAGTTACAATAGCTACTGTAACGCCTAGGTCTGTGGAAGATGAAGACAAGGGATGTGAATTTGCAAGAAAGAGAGAGAGAGAGAGAGAAAAGAGGGAGAGAAAGTCGGAGAGAGGAAGAGGTCATAACAGCTAAGAGAAGTAGAGCCTCTAGGTCTGTGAATTTGAGTGAGGAAATAGGGAGAGAAAGAGAGAGGAGAGGGAGAGAAAGTGGGAATAGATGGAGACGTTAACCGAGAGGCAATTAAGTGCAGAGGAGATGGATGATATAATTGTGAAGTCAGAGGGTAAAATTTAAAAAAAACTGTTCTTCAGATATCCTGACATTTTAAAGTAGCTTAGATATAAATGTAGATATAGATTTATATTTGCAACATGAATTACATTGAATTCTTGGATACCCAATATTTACCCCGCAAGTTGACGGTGTTTTACTTGTGTTTTTCGAATATTTTAGGTCAATATTGTAATATCTAGAAATATTTCTAAAATCTTTTTTTTTTTTAAATTGTTGATCTATTGGGGCGGCAACATTGCTGCTGTAATTATTTTTTTCAAAAAATATTTCTATTTGTGGTGGCAAATTTTTTTCAAAAAATATTTCTATTTGTGGTGGCAATTGTTTTGTCGCAAAAGATAGCTTGATTATTGTGGCGGCAAACTTTGTCGCAAATACCCTTTATGGCGCCCTCATCCACAGTTGAAGGATGCTGGGTGACGGTAATTTTTTGTCGCAAACAATCTTTTTTTTTTTTGAAGTGTTGACCTTAACTACTCCAGCGAAAAAACATCACTCCACCTGAAGTTTTAAAGTTAAAAACGTTAGTTGGACTGACGTTTTTAAAATCATCTAAATTAAGTAAATATTTTGACAATTACACGATTTTTGAATTTTTTTTTTCCCAAACCACTCAAGTTTGGTAAAAAACTGTATCTTAGTGTCTAGTTGCTTGTAAATGAATCAATTCTTGTATGTAACGATATGATTATGCATCTTCTAGTTGTTGCTGGGTTTAGGCAGTATCTCTGTTGGATGACCATCGATTGATGTCATTTAACATCAACTTAATGAGCAGAGGCAAGCCTCCATGCAACGATAAAGTTATTTTATTACGATCTAAGTTTGAGTTATAAAAAATAAAATTTTCGCATGAAATGGTAAGATTATGTATATTTAACTTTCTCTATAATGATATCTCAAACAAACCCTAACTGTGAACTCAGGTCAAGAGGTCAGGTCAGGAGGTCAGAAAAGATAGGAGGAACTCAGAGAACCAGGAGTGAAGCTCTCCTTGGGAGATCATAATTGAACCAACGGGGAAACAACTGGATGACTGCGAAAATTGAGCCTCATGCATGAAACTCTCAACAAACCAAGATTCTCTCTTAAAATCAAGGAAGATCTCATGAATAATGGGCAAAGATCTTGGTTGAAATCTCACGAAATAGGGGGCAGCTTTATAAATACTATGTAATGTCTCCATAGGAGAGGAGAAGAAAAAAATCCTAATTTCGAGATATACCATATTGTAATACATTTGAGTATGGAATAAAGGAGAGGGAGCAAAAACCTCCATTGAAGAATGAACTAGCCAAGTTCCTGAGCCGGTGAACCACTGATTTTGGAGGGAAGATGCTTTTCTAAAGAAACCAGCTCGTATGGTTGTGTGGACCTTCTGATACATCTCCTCGAAAAAGCCTTATGTGGACCTCGGGTTAAACTTCCAGAAAGGCTCTTCTTCCAACAAAGTTCCTATGTATGCAACAACATGGCCTCCAAAGATGTACTTGTGATGGACCTCAGCATCAAGTTACTTACTCTCTTTCCCAAATCCAGTAAACCTCTTGTCATTGTGAGGAATGTCAAGTACACCATCCAATGCTCCCTTTGGGGTGGGTTCTACTTTAAAATTTTCAAAAACAGAAAAAATCAAGAATAAGATGTAAAAAAAAAGAAGGTTAACATCCATAAAACAACAGACCAAGTAGCCTCAACATTCCCTTGATACACCTCATCCATCTCAAGCAATAACAACCCTCAACTGTCCAGCAAAAGTTCAAGGCAATAAGCTGCAATATAATATGAGAGATTAACTACGGGTCCACGGTAGAGCTCGACGATCCTAGAAGACTCTCTGAGGTCACAAAACATTCGGATATTTATGAGTTAAGTGTAGCTCGTATGTCTGCACAGACCCTCTAAGGCAGCTTTCAACTATTCAAACAAACAACACACTCTCTTTGACCAAACACAAACATGGTAATCTCCCAAAGTTAGATCTCAATTCCTTTCCTCTCAAAAGAGCTCAGGAAGCTAGCAAACTTGCAGTTCCAGCAGCTTTGCTTTCAGAGGAACTCAGTTCCCCTCAAAGCAATGGGGGGTAATGAGAGTACAGAGCAGTACACGAGCAGCTAACCAAAAAATAATGAGAGTAGATTTGAGAGAAGCAGAGTAGACTACATTGAAAAGCAAGTTGAATTGTGCTATCGTATTGAGCAGAGTATACTGCATTGAAGAGCAAGTTGGATTTTATTATTGTGTTAGAGTAAAGTAGACTGCATTGAAAAGTAAGTTGGATTGTGCTATCGTATTGAGTAGAGTAGACTGCATTAAAAGAGCGAGTTAGATTGTGTTAGAAAACAATTAGAGAAAGAGGAAAAAAACCAGTGCGTTTACCATTCAGATGAGCCAGGAAAGCAGGCCAAGTTTACATTCTGCAATAGAAGCTACAAATGCTAAAAAAAAAAAAAAGAATTAAAAGATCCTAAGATTCTTAAGAGGGAACAGGTGGAGGATCTTGTAATGAAGTTACTATAGCCTCAACAGCAGGAACATAGACAAAGCTCAGCAGCTCACCAGGCAACCCTTTTGGCAAGGCAGTAGTTGAAATCTTAGAAGAGCCAAGAACAGGTGAAGAGGTTGGGGCCTCGATCTCAGGCAGAGCTCTCGTTACAAGATCAACAGAAAATGACGTATCAGTAGAAACAACTGAAGGAGTAGACATTTCAGTACCTTCCAGAGCCCTATCAGAGGCAGCGAGAGCCAAGGTGCTGTCATCGCCCTCTGAATCAGACTCCTCCAACTCCACCTCAGTGGGGATGACAAAGTCAAAATCGAGGTCTAGGTCAGCCTTATTAGCTTTGCGCTGAAAGGCCAGCCACCCTGAGGCCCAATTGGTGGTGACATCATTCTTCAGCTTGACTATTATGTCATCCCTTTGCTTGACAGCTGTCTTTTGCATCTCGAGCTCATCGCATAGGCCCTCGTTCATCTCAGGCAGTATAACATACTCCTTCCTAAGACTCTCGAGAGAGCCCCGAGCATCAAAAGCTTCTTGGCTAGCTTTGTTCCAGGCATTGGTTTTGAGCAGCAGTTCTTTCCTGGTCATTCTCAGCTCATCCTTGACTTTCTTCTCTCTTTCTTCAGCCCTACCCTTAGCAGCTTGAAGGCCTTCGTAGTTAGAGGTCTGCTTCTCCATTTGTTCCTCGAGCTTTTGCACTTGAGCTCTGAGGCCCTCATTGTCAAAGGATAGCTCAGCGACCTTAAATTCGTATGTCTTCAAAGCTTTGGCAGAGTCCTTCGAAGATCAGACCCTGCCCATTAAATTCTTCAAGTGAAGAACCATCCGTAAAAAAAAAAAAAAAAAAAAGAAACAGACATAGATAAGCATAATTCAACCGCGCCGAGCTAAGAGTGAATGTGAAAATACTTACAGTGGCTGTTACCTAGAGAGCTGAGCAGAAAGAGGCCTCAGGAGACATGGTAGAGGCCCTTTGAATATCGGATTCAGGGAAAATGGATGAAATGACCCCAGTAGCCAACTCAGCATTGTCGAAAAAGGAAATTTCATCAGTCTCCTGGCTCTCCCTCCTTTCGACTTTGGGACTCCAGAGAGGCAGCTGAGATGGTTGCTCAGGCGGTCCGGGGGGTGCAAAGTCTGGCTTGATTCTAGTAATCAACCTCAATGCTCCCTCAATCTCAGAAGAGGTGGGGGAAGCCAGCCCTGGCTCGGAAGTCTTTTCGGGGGAAAACTGGGCCCTTGAAAAGGAGAAGGGGTCAGGGATTGAGATGAGGAAGTCTGTCCTCCCTTGCTCAAGGCAACAGAAGAGGGCACTCCCAGCTTCTGCACTTTAGCCTTGTCAACGGGGCTACTTTTAGAGCTGGTATTGGCCTTTTGTTTGCCACTTTTCCTATTCTTCTTCAGTAGGTCAACTTTAGCCTGGAGTTCCTCAAAGGTAGATTTCATTATGGAGGAGCCTGGAAGATCTGGACCGAGCAAGTTAAACAAGAGAAAGGAAAAAGAAGGGAAGGCAAGGGGAACCAATTCAGAAAGTGTTACCTTTTATATCTTCAGGCCTAACAATTGAGAGAGGGAACAGAGCTTCTATCTATACCTTAGGAGGATTGAATCCCTGTGTTACTCAGACCCAGGGTTTGATGAGGTTGGAGTACTTCTCTGGATTACACTTCTCCAACTTTCACTTTACCCTCTCATCCTCAGCACTGAGCTCTAGTCGAATGCTTGAAAAGCAATACAAGGAGAGTAAAAATGTCAGAAATGCGACTCAATGATTTTCAAATCAGAGCTCAATCAGCTCGAGCAAGGGTTCATCTAAGTTATCATGGGTGGACCAAGTTCTAGGGATACCTAGAGTATCGGTCCTGTCAACAGGGTTGTACTCCCAGTTGGTGCCCCCAACGAAAAATAATTATTTCTTCCAACCCTTATGGGAGCTCGAGAGATGAGTAATGATCTGCCTAGCAGTGATTCACTTGGAGATATATAAAAAACCCTCTGATGAGGTGAGCTTGACATTAAAAAGATCCACAAGCAAGGAAAGGCTGGGGACCCCGAGTCCATGAATCTTGAATAAAACAAGAAGAGCCATAAGTACACCCCAGAAATTTAGGGAGAGCTGAACAGGGCAGACATTGAAGTGTTGCAAAACACTCTTGATGAAGGGATGTATAGGGAAGCGAAGACCATTCTCAAAAGCGGT